ACTTCTAGCACATAAATGGCTAGAAGGTTGAGGGTTTTCTTGGCAAGCGGTGGTAGAGTATATCTGGAGGCATTAGCTGGAGTTACACTTCTAGCACATAAATGGCTATTGAGGGTTTTCTTGGCATGCTGTGGTAGAGTATATCTGGAGGCATTAGCTGCTCCACCTACGCAGAGACTTTCTTAATAGCTCAGTGGCTTAGGTCTCTGGCTGCAAAACCAGAGGTTATGAGTTCGATTCCCCACTGTACCTGCTTAACAGGGGCTTGACTTGATGATCAATAAGGTCCCTTCCAGATCCGGAGTTCTAAGATGAAGATGACGATTCACACAAAAGCTTAATTAATCTGCAGAACTCACTGCCACAAGATGTGTCCATTGGCTCAGAAGCTTTAAAGAAAGATTAGATGCATCTGTGAGAGCAAGAAAAGCCTCTGAAACGCTGACCTCCAGAGTCGGAAACTTAATTTCTGCTTCGGTTTCCTATGCATCTGTGAGAGCAAGAAAAGCCTTTGAAACGCTGGCCTCCAGAGTCAGAAACTGTTAATTTCTGCTTCGGTTTCCCAGTGGATGTGGGGGGGGAGAGAGAGAGAGAGTCGGGTAGGGCTATTTAATGTCCGTCTTGATCCTCGGCTATCCCGGAAGCATCTGGTTAATCTCTGAAGGAAACGGGATTCTGGATGCGATGGATCCTTGATCTGTTCCAGCTAAGTGAAAGAGTTTCTCACCCTTCACTGCGCATTTGGCAAAAAATTGCGAATGGCTCAAATTTAACCGGCTGAATCTGCGCAGTTTTGGGCCTCTTTTCTGTGATGACGGCCACGAAGGCTGTCTGTAGCACCTTGCACTACAGGGGTGAGCAACGGGCGGCCTTCCAAATGTTGCTGAGCTGCCCCTCCCATCAGCTAGAGTTGCTAGAAAGTCTGCCTTTGCCCCGTGCGCGAGAGAGTGTTTCCCGGCTAATAAAGTCAATCATCGTAAAAATCAAGGTGGCTCTAGGAAACGAGTCCTTATACTCCTTCAGCGTTTCTTTAGCCTTCCTATTTTAAAATTCCGTTTAGGTGGCGCGGATATTAATTCAAGTATTGATGATTAGGTCTGGCCCCCTGACTGCACAAAGCCTAAAACTCCAGACTAGAGGCGAGTAGCTTTGTGTAGCTGTCTAGAAAATCCTGGAGTTGTTAGTCGAAAAACTTCACCGATCTGCGCACCGCCGGTCCAAACCAAGGTCGGGTTCCCGCTGCCTCCGGTGCCCTTGGACTACAACTCCCATCCATCGTATCCAGCAAAACCGGCGATGGGACCTGGACAGCCGCACAAGTTACTCCTCCCCGGATCCGAGTTCAGCTGTCCCTCGGCCACCGCTGGACCTTCGGAGCGGCTCGGGTGGCTGGTTGTGAAGCGGGAACCTCTTCCAGAAGGCAAGAAGGCGTTTTCCTTTCAGGCCACCGACGGAACAGGCGGTAAACTGAGTCAGGGTGAGCAGGACGGGCGTGGGTGGCTGCCACGGAGAAAGGGGCTGAGAAGCCACCATTTGCTTCCTTCCCGACCTTCTTTCCAGCGCTTGGATCTGCTTGAGAGCAGAACTGGTTTGGCTCCGCTTTCGTGCCGCCGATCCGGATTGAAGCCACACCGCTTTCCAACAGGGTCTGGGGGATGAGGGAAAGTTCACCTCCCACCGTCCCATTCAGACCGTCTCCGGGAAGGGAGGGCTGATAATGGGCGGCAGCTGCTGAAGGCGGTGCTCCATCCCTTGACCGTGTCTTCTGCCCTCTGACCCGCCTGCCCCCTTTCCATCAAAAGCCCCAAGCCCTCCAGACCTCTTGACATGGGACTTTCCCTCCTCTTCTGCAAGACAGCACCCCTCCTACTCCGGGGAAAGATTTGTCTAGAGGTCTTTCTTTCCTACCTTCTGCGTATCTGCTCCGAAGTAAGTCCTCCAGAGTGCCTGAGGGCTTCCTCTGTCGTAAGCGCGTGTATAGGATCCCAGCCTTATTTAGGGACAGACGGTGCGGTCCCTAGCCCGTTCCTTAGGAGTAACCTTGCTCAACTCAACGGAACTTCATTCGGAGCAGATATTGTTTTAGGACGGCACGTCCGTACTCTGAAAGCCCCGAGACTTGCTTAAAATTACAAGAAACAGCAACAACAACCATAACAATATATATATATAAAGGAGCAAAAAGAGAGAAGAAAAACCGGTTCCCCTTCGAATTTTTCAGCAGAGGGCCAGTAATTTGAAACAAAACATCAAAGTTTTGAGCAACAGTTCGTAACAGCGCAGCCCTGTGCCGGTCTCCTCGGAGGTAAATCCCATGGTCTTGCATAGATCTCACTCTGTGCAACTGGACCCTTTTTATTTCAGCGGGAGCAACACGCGGAGCTCGCTCTTTAAAGTGAAGGCAACCTGCTTCTTCCGCCTCTCCAATTTACACTAGAGTAGCCCCGCCGTCGCGTTTCGGAGCAGATGGCTTAGGCAGCCAACGCATTCGCCTAGGGCTGAGATCACAGCCTCGTCTCGCCTGCCACACGTGCTGCAATGTAAATAGGCAATAAAGAAGTTTCCAAGTTATTCAAAGGAAAGCCGCCAAAACATCCACAGGAACAGGGAAAACTTCAGGTTTAAACCGGCCGGGATTTAAGCAGGAAGGCTACCGTCAGGATTGTGCCCAAATCTATCATCTTAAATCTCAAAGCAATGATAAAACTGCTCTGAAGTTATACGTTTTTTCCCCACCAAACGCGTTTGCTTAATGCTTGCAAAATTCCTTTTAAAATGAAACACAGCCAGAATATTAAATGCATTTTTATCGACAAGATCTTTTACCCCCTGAGTATCAATGGCAAGGAAGCGAATCAAGGGAAGGTGGAGGAGAAGATTAATGCTAAATATTTATGTGCAACCGTGGACTTAGATTTATTAGGTCATCTAACGCCGGTTCTGTCATGAATTTGGACAAAATAATTTAGAACTCTTTCTTTCTTCTTCCCACCCCACCACCCCGGATTTGAGTAAAGCCAACGCCCCCCTCCAGCCTCTTCTGTCAAGGAGTTTGATGCACTGTTCAATTTTTCCCTCTTAAAAAGAAGAGGGGGGGGGAAGAGACGCATCTTCATGTGGATGCCCGCAAAAGAGATACATGATGGTATTGGGAGCTAATTATTTGAAAATATAAGTGAAATTTAGGATCGAGTTGAGTAAGGTTCACAAGACTATTTTTTAAAGTGTGTGTATGTTTCTCTCTCTCTCTCTCTCTCTCTCTCTCTCTCTCTCTCTCTCTCTCTCTCTCTCTCTCTCTCTCTCTCTCTCTCTCTCTCTCTCTCTCTCTCTGTGTGTGTGTGTGTGTGAGAGAGAGAGAGAGAGAGGAGTTTTAAATGAAGACTTGTGCATAATGAGGCCGGGGAAGCCAGTCTCCGCCGCTTTAACCGGGGAACATCTGATTCCCTCATCTGGCAGATGGTCTCGGAGTCCAGATTTGCATTCATTGTCTTGAAATCTGTTTTCGCTTTGGTGTTATATAGATTTCAGGGGCAAATCTATACCCCAGATCGGAGGACAAAAGGACCAGGGGGGTCGGAGGGAAAGGACACCAAGCCGGCTTAATTTATCGAGCAACGCGCCCTTCTCTCCTGGAAGAACAAACCGGGGGGGGGGAATGAGGATTATAACGCTTCGGATCCCCGCCCCCCCACCTTATTTCGTTTTTTTTTTTTTTAAAGCTGCATTTGTAGGCGTGAAAAAGAGATAATGCGTGCGTGCACACACACACATCCTCTCTTTCTCATAAACATACACATGAAATCACATGCGCGTATGTATAAATGAAGTACATGTTTCACAGCCCGAAATTTAAGGTGAAATTCTGTGGACAAGGAAAAAAAAAAGAGAGAGAGAGAGAGACCCACAGCCCGAAATTTAAGGTGAAATTGTGTGGACAAGGAAAAAAAAAAAAAGAGAGAGAGACTGTTGTTTAAGTTAGCGTCGACATGATCAGTATGATGATCAGATCGCTCTTTGCGGCCAGTTCCAAAAATAAGCCAGCTACTCTCAGTGGGGGCATTCTCCCGAGTAACGGGGGGTCGATCCCTCTTCTAGGGGGTGCTCGCACCTCCAGCCGTCCTGGGATCGGTTCCCCCGCCTATTCCCTTCCAAACGGAGCGAAGCAAACAAAGTACAGTATAGACGATTTACTCCCCCAAATACTCCTTGAAAGTTTTGAGAAAGCCGGAAAGGGATGACCCGAAGGCCAGGGGGGACGAACCCTGGGACTGGCAAGGAGGCTGAGCCTCCCTGCGTCAGATCTGCTCCTGGAGAGAGAAACCGGCGGCGCAAAATTGGGGCGAAGAACTTTTTCCCGCAACTCTTTCCCCGACGCCTTTTGCAAACCCGGCCCGCTCGCTAAGCGCGCGCACACACGCGCACCTTAGGCGGCGCCCCGCCCACCGCTTTCGCTCCCCCGGGCACCGCGTATTCCGTTCGAGAACCGGCCTGCGCCTCTCCTCCAATGGGACGAGCCTATGCAAATGAGAACACCTTATATGGCCGGGCGCTCCTCCCCTTTCCCCGGGCAACGTTCTCTCCCCTCCGCTGTAACCCATTCATGGTGAGGGAGGTCCGGAAAAACGGCCGCGCGCGCGTCGCCTCTGCTTTGCTTGTAATCAGATGCTTTTTAGTAGGATTTCGCCCGCTTCTTTCGCAATTGATCCCTGCCTTGTTTCTCACTCTCTCTGCCCCCCCTTTCTTCTCTCTCTCTCTCTCTCTCCTCTCCCCCCCCCCCCCTCTCCTTTTCTCCTCCCTCACTTGCGCGCCCGC